ATTCCTCTCGATGGTGAGATTATTGATCCCGAGAAGCCGGATAAGGAGTTGCACATGGTGCCCCCAGTAGAGCCGCAGGCTGTGCAACCATTGCAGGCGATCCCTCCTTACCGCGATCCTCATATTCCTCCGGGGTTCGAGTCAGAGGATTCGGGAGTAGATTGGGAGAAGGGCGATCCTTAGGGGCCACCAGACTAATTTAGGGGTTGTATAGACTAGGTCAGATCAGTCACTTTTTGGAAGATAGGTCGACCTATAGTGAAGCTAAGTTAACCCAACCACCCGATCCCTTTTGTTATGTCGGTGGGTTTTGGATGCTCGTCTTGCTAAGCTTGTATGTAATGTTGTTTGTATGCTCGGTACGTTGGCAATGTATAAAAGTTAATGTTGTTAGTTTATTGACTATCTTGATGCTTAACCCCGTCGTCATCTTTATAGTACGAGCGTTTTTTTTATTTTCGTTTCCGCATGTGCTTTTGATGCGTTGGGTTAGGTCGGCGATGTTCCTGGGACGTCGCATTATTCGACCGAAGAGGGATGTCGCGAGCTTGATGGGGTTCGGGGCGTGACATGGGACCAAAAGGAGGAGTTTCCAAGAACAAGTTTCAAGGAAAATGCTTCAGCTGTGGCAAAATGGGGCATAGATATGTGGATTGCAGACTTCCGAAAAAGAAGAATTATGAGACAAATATGGTGAGTGGCATCGCTCAAGACATGTCAAACATAAACCTTTTTGCAATAATTTCTGAAGTAAACTTAGTTGGGTCCAATCCGAAGGAATGGTGGATTGACACTAGTGCCACTAGGCACATATGCTCTAATAAAGACCTATTCACAAATCTTGAACCAATTAATGGGGAAAAGGTTTTTATGGGAAACTCTGCCTCTTCTGCTGTCGAAGGCCAAGGGAAGGTACTACTGAAGATGACATTTGGAAAAGAGCTGACTCTGAACAATGTCCTATATGTGTCAGAAATTCGAAAGAACCTGGTCTCTGGGTCTCTGTTGAACAAGCATGGATTTCGTATGGTGTTCGAGTCAGACAAAGTTATTTTGTCTAAATCTGGGATGTATGTGGGGAAGGGATATGTATCTGATGGGCTTTTTAAGCTCAATGTGATGACAATTATCAATAAAGATAATAAGTCTTCTATTTATTTGCTTGAGTCTTCTAATTTATGGCATGATAGACTAGGACATGTTAATTATGATACATTGCGTAGATTAATTAACTTGGAACATATACCTTCATTCCAAATTGATTCAAAACATAAATGTGAAATTTGTGTTGAGGCAAAATTAACAAGATCATCATTTCAAACAATTGAAAGAAACACCGAACCCCTTGAATTAATTCATAGTGATGTTTGCGATTTGAAATTCATACAAACGAGAGGTAGTAATAAATATTTTATTACCTTTATCGATGATAACACTAAATACTGCTATGTGTATTTGCATAAAGCAAAGATGAAGCCTTAGAGAAATTTATTCTCTATAAGAATGAAGTTGAAAATCAACTTAATAAGAAAATTAAAAGATTGAGAAGTGATAGAGGTGGCGAGTATGAAGTACCAATTGGTGAATTCTGTGCACAACATGGAATTATACATGAAATAACTGCGCCTTACTCTCCTCAATCAAATGGTGTTGATGAACGTAAAAATCGCACATTGAAAGAAATGATGAACGCGATATTACTAAATTCAGGTTTGCCTCAAAATATGTGGGGAGAAGCTATATTGTCAAGCAATTATCTTTTAAATAAGGTACCTCAAAAAAGAGAGGATAAAACCCCTTATGAGTTATGGAAAAGTAAGAGACCATCCTACAAACACTTACGAGTGTGGGGGTGTCTTGCAAAAGTGTTGGTTCCAACACCAAAGAAGACAAAGATAGGTCCTAAAATGGTGGACTATATCTTTATAGGCTATGCATATAACAGTAATGCATATCAATTTCTTGTACATGAATCTAAAATTTCAGATATACGCAAGAATAGGATCATGGAATCTAGAAATGTATCATTCTTTGAAAATGCATTTCCTTGTAAATCTAGTGATGGATCAAGTTCATATAAATGAAAGAATGAAACTATGAATAAAGAAAGTCATGATTCGGCTCATGAAATTCATGACTCAAATCATGAACTAGAACCAAGACGTAGCAAAAGAGCAAGAGTGGAAAAATCTTTTGGAAATGATTTTCTAACTTATTTGTTAGAAAAGGAACCATTAAATTATGCATAAGCTGTGAATTCTTCTGAGGGACCTCTATGGAAAGAAGCAATAAAAAGTGAACTTAATTCTATTTTGCAGAATCATACTTGGAAGCTAGTGAATCTTCCTCCTGGTTGTAAGCCTTTAAAGTCCAAATGGATTTTTAAAAAGAAAATGAAAGCAAATGGCTCCATTGATAAGTATAAAGCCAAACTTGTGATCAAAAGATACAATCAACGAGAAGGCTTAGATTACTTTTATACTTATTCTCCTGTGACAAGAATAACCTCCATTAGGATGATACTTGCAATTGCAGCATTGCGAAATCTAGAAGTACATTAAATGGATGTAAAAACAGCTTTCCTAAATGGTGATTTGGATGAAGAAATCTACATGGAACAACCTGAGGGTTTTATAGTTTCAGGACAAGAAAGGAAAGTCTGTAAATTGGTGAAATCATTATATGGCCTAAAACAAGCACCAAAGCAGTGGCATGAAAAGTTTGATAATGCAATTATTACCAATGGATTTAACATCAATAAATGTGATAAATGTGTCTACATTAAAGAGACAACAAATGGCCATGTCATTTTGTGTCTTTACGTAGATGACATACTAATTGTTGGTAGTGATGATAAAATGATCAAATCTACCAAATATATGTTGAATTCAAGATTTGACATGAAAGATATGGGACCTACTGATATGATTTTAGGAATTAAATCACAAGAACGTCAAAAGGTCTTATTTTAAACCAGTCACACTATGTGGACAAGATTCTTGAAAAATTCAACATGAATGATTCTGGTATTGCTAGAACACCATTAGACAATAGTTTTCATCTGTCCAAAAATAGAGGAGAGGGTATTTTTCAAGTAGAGTACTCTAGAGTTGTTGGAAGTCAATATACTTAATGAGTTGTACTAGACCAAACATTGCCTATACGGTTAGTAAATTGAGTAAATATACAAGCAATCCGAGTCTTGACCATTGGAAAGCAATAGTGAGAGTATTTAGGTACTTACGATATACTCATAATTATGGCCTGCATTATATCAGATACCCAGCTATTCTAGGAGGATATAGTGATGAGAACTGGATATCTAATATAAAAGACTCAAAATCTACTAGTGGATATGTATTAACACTAACAGGAGCAGCCGTATCTTGGAAATCTTGTAAACAAACTATTACAGCCAGATCCACAATAGAATTTGAATTTATAACTTTAGATAAATGTGGTGAATAGACTGAATGGCTATGCCATTTCTTAGAGGATATTCCAAAATGGCAAAAACCTATGCCACCAATAGGTACACATTGTGATAGTCAATCTGCAATTAGAAGAGCACATAGTAATATGTATAATCGTAGACATAATACTATTAGACAACTACTCTCAACAAAAATTATCTCTATTGACTACGTAAAGTCAAGGGATAATATTGCGGATCCGCTAACCAAAGGGTTAAACAGAAAGTTAGTTGAGAAATCGACAAGAGGAATGGGACTGAAGCCAATGAAAGAATAAGTTGGTATAAAGGAAACCCAACCTAGTTGACTGGAGATTCCAAGATCTAGGTTCAAAGGGACAACCTAATTATATAAACTTAGTGATGTCATTGCGAGGGTTATCCCTAAAACCATTCCTATATAAAATATCAGTGATATTGTAAAGAAAAGGATAGCAATTTTGCTTTAATGATTCTTAAGTGGAGTAAACAAATTACTCAAAAAAATTAAGTAATCACCTATGTGAGAGAGAAGTGGGGCCGCTTCAAAGGAGAATTATTTAAGGGCTAAGTTCTTTAGAAACTCTTGCAGAACCAGGTTGATGTTCATGGCCAAAACGAACATAACTATGAGAACTGAACAAACGTTTAGATGATTCCTGTGTGAAGTGTATGGTTCATTTACATAAAAAAGCCGGACAGTTCAAGGACATCATGTCTACTGGACAACTAGTAAGGTAAATATACTTTCACAAGGGAAGGTTCAAAGGGTAACACCTACCTATCCTATGCAGGTTTCAATTGTTGAACACTATCACAGAGTCAAAACTAAAACAATTTTCATTCATGTGGGCGATTGTTGGAAATATGGGATAAATTGATGGGTGAATGAATGAGAAATTGATGCTTAAAGAACACCCTTGAGTTGGAAGTGGGAAGTGGAAAAACACTAGTCCCACATTGGAAAAGAAAGAAGGCTATGGAGTACTTTTATACAGTTATATTCATTTGAAGTGGTAACTATCATAGCACAAACACTATGCCTCGCACGCAGGCGTAGGGGGGGTGCAAATCTAACGCCCGACAAGCTGAAACTTGGGCGTGAGCGCACGTCCCGTGTACACAATTGCAGGGCCAAAAAGTGGGCCTCGCGACAAGCTCAATTTTGCCTTCTGATTTATTTTCAACTCAAGCTATTACAAATTAAAATGATTAATGGCGTTAAATTGTGTTGTTACATTGAATTGTTCCTCTCTTTCAATTCTCTGCATTTTTTACACTGTTTTTCGATAATGTTCGGTTCCGATTTCTTCAAGTTCACCGAAAGCTTTGAAGTGCCGATTTCTTTTTAGCTATCAACCGTTGTATCCTAGGAGATAGACGTTCGCAAAACCTCATACGCGTGCCGGAAGGAACGAATCTGTTTTAAGGAAACTATGTCGAACAGAGGCCTCGATATCCATTTGTATCGATTTCAATTCTGTTATTGTAATTTCATTTCTTTACAATTCTATATTGTTCGTAATATTTATATTAATGCCAATTTGAATTTCGCAACAATTTTTACTTCAAAAGTAGAAAGCCTCTTCCTAATGCACATAGGAACATAAGCACGAGGTTGCCAGGCATTACAAACATATACCCTATTCCGTCTAAGCATTATCCAGATGCTTTGCCGGGGGTTAATGCAGTGAGAAACTACACAGATCAAATGTGTACAACCATCATTCAATAGTGAAAATCATCGAACTCGCATGTCCAACATAATTCATTGCTTGAAATGTTCCAGTGCAGATACCCCGTCAAGTCCTTTTGCGAAGTAACGAGTGACTAAGTCCTTCACCGTAATTTCCCGATAAATTGGGGGATTTTCTTCTGATAGCAGCTCCTTAATAGGGCCATACAACCTTGAAGTATTCTCTGGAGGGAGATGCTGCCTGACAAAACACGCCACTGAAATTCTTGGCCCAATGTTCTTGGCTAGAACTCTGTGACTGACACTAATGAACTTATCGTTCGAGATCAGCTGCAAGATGAAGGAGGAAATAGCAAAGTGAAGACCAAAGACTCTGAAACAACGGTTACACATAAATATAGCATACGTAAACAAACTCTTTTAAAAAGGTGAACACTTTATCAAGTCATTCTCACAACTCCTAGCATGGTCGTCAATATTATTAGCTAAGACCAAGAGATCGTTGAAAGACAACACCCAGATGGAAAAATCATTAGACAGAATTGACTTAGCTCAGTCAATGTTGCAAGAGCCAACTGGAAGTTCCACAGTTGTAAACAGGATATTCTACAATCCGTCTGTTGGACCTCAACACCAACTAAGAGAAGTATTTAGCGTCTCTAACCCACTACAAAACAGTTAGGATAGAAGAATATAGATGAAAAGCTGTCTTTCGCTCCACTAATTCAGAATGTAACGCCAAATCAGTGTCCCTGGACTATGATACTAAATTGACTGAAGGACCCACTCGTCAGATCAGCCACACAAAAAAACACAGATTAGGCTACAATGCATCGGCTCATGCGATAACATAGAAAAAGGAAACTAACTGGTAGAAATGGAAACTGCGAATCTCTTCTGAACTGACCTGCATCATGTCTCCCAAGTTTATTACGAGGGCTCCGGGAATTGGGGTAACGTCGATCCATTGGTTCTGATGGCAGACCTGGAGGCCACCAATTTGGTCTTGGAGAAGAATGGTGATAAAACTGCTATCAGTATGATCACTAGTCCCAAGGGTTAAGTCTGGTTCTGGACATGCTGGGTAGTAATGGCCGATGAAGAAGAGTCCCTCCCCACAGTGGATGTTTTTCAGGTAGCTAGGGTTTAGGCCAAGAGCTTCGGACAGCAATTCGAATATCGTAGCTGCCAATTCTAGAATTCTGTCCTTGTACTCAATTATTACGTCTCTGCAAGTCGATTGGTTACAGAGAATAAGTGATTAGTCAAACGCAACGAACATCAGAAAATCAATCTCTACCTCACTCTCTCAAAAATGATCCTACTGATAAGTAATTTCAGCAGTACTTGAATTACATAAATTGGTTTTAGATGTGGGGATATACATGGACCAGGTCAATTGACTTTACACAAAAAACCCAAACCCAAACCCAATTATCAAAATTGAGGTTCTAAAATACAAGTTCATGATTCGCGTAACAGAGCAATCATTCTTGCATACCAAAGAGGAAGAACAGAAAAGTAATTAGTTTTTCCATTCAAACCGAATCTATCGGCATTCCGACTCCGAATCCCCTGAAGATCTACGCCCCCTATTGATTGTTCGCTTCAACTGAACTACGACTCTGAAGCCCTGCGACAAAACAGCAAGAACTCCCGGTACACTGGGCACTCGTTTCGCTAGGACAAGCAGCAGCTCCATCGAGTCCAAAAGCCCCATTATTACTAAATTATCACATCTTAAATCTTATCTAGGCTAGAGCTTCTTCGCTTTCTTTCTTTTCTTCCACTGATTCGCTATGTGTCAAAAAGAAACTATCATGGAACCTTTAATTCCCCCCGCACTACACAAGTGGGTATCGCATAACTAAATTGAAAGCATTTATGTCGCAAGTCCCAAAACTGAAGTTAGTTTCAGCCTTTCAAGGGGTGTGTGTTCTCCGCACGCACGCAAGCACGCACGCATGCACACGCTGATGCAGAGATTACCGACAGACAGCAGGCAATTCCTGAGGATCCGGACTACGAGGAGCCAAGACGCAGGTGAGGGAGTCCCTCCAGTTTGCCGACGGAGCTTGATACAGGTCGAAGTTGCTGTTGTACAACACCTTCCTCGATCCGTAATCTCGCGAGTACCACTCGCGCTTAGCCTCGAGGTCCTGCTCATGGAACCTCCTGACGCCTTCGACCATCTCCTCCATGAGGGCTGCCGGCACGCCGTGGTTCACCGCCTGGAAGAACCCCCACGTCTCGCACGCCTCCCGGACCACGTCGACCGTCCGCTTCCTCTCGCCGGGGCTGCTTCGGCTTCGGCTTCGGCCCACGCCTCCGAAGTCTACGACCGGAACTCTCGGGCTCGATCCTAGTGGTTCCGAGGCACGGTCATGCTCGAGCTCGAGCTGGCGTTGGACGAAGATTCGGGGTATATGGATCAGCTTGGCGTCGGCCAGGCCCTTCACGCCGGCCTTCGTGTCGTCGAAGGACTTCAGCTCGGCTCTCCGGTCGTAAACACCATCGGAGTTGAGCCTCACCTCCGTCGCCATTACTCTGTTCTTCCAGCTCCAGCACGGAACCAGCGCAACGAGCGACGCAAAGTAGGACAAAATTTTTCAAGACGAGATATTCGAAGATATTCGTGACAACCAAGTGCTTGGAAATGCGTGGGGTTGAGGCCCTTGTCGTTTCTTGCGAACGTCTTATCCATGGAGCTCCATTGTCAACTCAAGCTACTGTTAAGCCAGACAACGTCAATGTCTTCTGAGTCATACATGATGTGCAGTACTTGTAACCCCACGTATTCTGTAGCGGAGGTCTCCGGTGCAGTGGATGCGAGATTGTTTACGTAACGTGAGTCGCTAATCCTGACCGCTCCTTGTCGCCTTGTCGCCCTTTCCATTAGTCCGACCGCCATTGTCGTCGTCTTACGATGCCGAGAATAACAAGATATTCCAAAATTGAGAGAGATTAGAAAGTAAAAACACGTTTCGAGAAGCTACTCATGTTTGATAGTAGAGACGTCGCTCTTCGATATTCCATTTTTGCAATGATTTGAGAGCATTCGATACATTGTAAGTCTCGAATTATCTAAGTTGAAATATGTGGCACATCTTACTCCCTAATACTAATGCTATGATGGCCTAATTCTCTAAAAAAATCCTAAATTTTAGGTTAAGTCTCAAATTTGCTTCGAACTTTTTTTTGTCTCGTAATAAAACCTCAAACTTTAGATCTAGTCCTAAATCTGCCACAAACTTTTTTTGTCTAAAAAAGAACTCCAAACTTTAAGTCAAATCCCAAATTTGTCCCAAATTTGCCCCAAATTTTATTTTTTGAAAAAAAATCACCAAAATTCAATTTTATTTTTAAAAATATACTCCCCTGATCCAGACCCAATTTGACGTGGCACTTTTACATTGATAACAAATTCACATCAACAAAGTAATAAGGTTTTTTAGACAAAGAAAAGTTCAGGGAAAATTTGGACCGAACCTAAAAATTATTTTTTTTTGTAAAATTAAATTTTTTTGAGTGGATTTGTTATTGTCCCTAACTTTCATATTCTAGAACAGTTTTATTATGGAGAATTTCAACTATTTTTGTTGGGTTTAATTTGTTATCAAAGTGGAAATGCGACATCAGTCTGTGCCTATCGCCCTATTACTTTACTAATGTGGATTTGTTATCGACGTGGAAGTGCTACGTCAAGTTGGGACTAAATCATAGGAATATATTTTTAAAAATAAATTGAAATTTGCTCATTTTTTACACAAAACAAAATTCAGGGTAGATTTGAGACTAAACTTAAAGTTTGGTGTTTTTTTTAGACAGAAAAAATTCGGGACAGATTTGGAACTTGACCTAAAGTTGAAAGTTGTTTAGGGAATTCACCCATGTTATGATATGTTGGGTAAAGTCTCATGAAATACTTGCGGCAAGTGACTTGATCAAATGACATCATCTGTACATTCATTTTCGAATGCTTGTATATACCTATCTTGACACATAATCTCGACATTTAATTTGCACGTAAAACTGAAATCATGCACACGATTCAGCTATTGTCTTTGCATTTTCCTGTCCAGTTTCACCTACCATTTAAGTTTCGTGAACATAGCGGGGGACTTTTTAAAACTTTTGTAATTTTTTTCATAGTCAAATACTCTGTTTACTTTGGGGGAAAATAAAGACATCTATTGTTTAACTAATGATTTAATATCATAAAATATCTCAAACTAATATACCCATGCCACATTTATCTCAAACTAATTGTTGTCATAAAAACTCTCAAATTGGTATTCTCGTGTAACATTTATCCCAAACTAATTTTTGTATTACAAAAAATCTCAAACTAATGTACACATACCACATTTACCCTACAATAATGTACCCATGCCACATTCACCCCAAAAAGTCGTTTGAAACTTTTATTTGAGGTCACAGATAAAAAAAAAAAAAGAACTTCTACTTGAGGTCTTCTTCTGCTTTTAAACTTTTTTTTTTTTTTTCACCCGGAAAGGTTGGAGCTTATGACACCAAAACATAAGCATAGCGGCAAAACTGAAACAGTCTTCCGTAAAAAAGGCGAAGTATTCCCTCTCTCCCACTCTATCTCCCTCTCTTAGCTGGCCTATTATCGCCGTTTTGGCGAACTTCTTGTTTGTTGAGATCATGTAACGTTGCTATGAGCTTTTTTCCCACCTTAAAACTATAGTTTTGGAGATGATAAAGAGACCGCTTCCCATTTTTTTAGAAGTTTTTGTTACTTCTGGGACAAACACATTGTTTGTACCAATTCATTGATCTCCTCATGCTAGACAACACAGCCTCGTCTTCTCTCAGCCACCCCAACATAGCCCCCATCGCTTCTTGAGATGAAGAAGTATGTGTACACACGAGAAACATTGTCTGGGCATGACACTGATATTCTTGGAAGAACAAGTTCACAAGAATATAGGACTTCCAAGCACTGACCGATGACCTAGGATTCGACTTAAATACACTCTAAGTAGAAAACTAAAACATTGTAGATCGAATTGTCGTTCCAACCCAGTTCCTTAGTTTAATAGTGCTGGCGCAAATCTATCCATGAAGAAAGTCGTTGCTTGGTTTATAAACTATGTGGACCAACCCTACATCAATCATTAATTATAAATGTCTCAACAACATGGGATTCACATGATTATCGGTTGAGATGGACTTGACATTGAAGCTCTGTGCTTTGAATATTGCATATAGTCTCCTAAAGCACTTGCACCAAGTGGCTTGATTGCATGACGTAGTCAATCAATGAAAGTATTTTTGCATATCAAAGCTACAACATAATATGAATATGAAAAGTAATAAACTAGCCAGCAAGCTCGTGTCACGCTCGGGTTTATTTTCTGCTAATGTAGGCATTCCCTTTCCGATTTGGAGCACCAGATGTTTGCCACTGCCAAACTCACAGCTTGAACATCTGCAGAGCCGAAGCCTCATCGCCTCTCGCGCTGTAGCGGGAAACATACTCCATGATGGTGGTTTCTCTGTACTTTAGCAGATGACCCTCCGAAATCAACTCCTTGATGGGTCCGTACAGTCTTGGAGATGGCGGCACCGCTGTGTAAAAGAAGCACGCCACAGACACTCTCAGCCCCACGTTGTTGGCCAAAACTCTATGCTCAGCGCTCTTGAATATGTCATTGGAGATGAGCTGAAAAAAATGCTCTGGTTCGTGATTAGAAAAGTGAACACTCAACTGCCGGATAAAGAGCTCAGGCTTAAAATGCTTTGCTTGTGATTTATTGATGTGCCTAACAGGGTCTCTAGTGATAAGATGGAGCGAGGAGAGTACGTTAGGTGAGACTTGCCTGAAGCAGATCTCCGATGTTAACTACCAGAGCTCCTGGCACGGGGCTCACTCCGATCCACTGATTCTGATGAAGAACTTGGAGACCTCCGACATGGTCTTGCAGGAGCACGGTGAAGAAGTCGCTGTCGGCATGCTTGCTGGCTCCAAGAGTGAGCTCTGGTTGTGGGCATTTGGGGTAAGTACTGGCTCAGAAGGATGAGTCCCTCAGCGTAGTCCATGTCCTTCAGATGGTTCGGCTTCAACCCGAGCGCCTCCGACGGTAGCTCGAACAAGGTGATTCCTAAATTCGCCACTTGCTTCGAGAATTCCAGCATTATGTCACTAGGGTGTTCAAAAAAATTTAGTGGATCAATTCGTCGCAAATTCCTAATCCGTGGGAAGCAAAATCTTAACAAAATATCATAAGACATTTGAATATTCTGCAAAATCACTTACCGGCATACCGCCGGCAAGTCCTCTGCCACGGGAGCATTAGGTGCCATAATACAGAATAGGGTGTCCCTCCAATTAGCCGCCTCTGTTCTATACAAATTAAAATTGCTGGGGAAAATTACCAAAAAAGTCCTAAATCTTTTGCAATTGTGCCAATTCAGTCCTAAACTTTTTGCAATTGTGCCAATTCAGTCCATCCGGCCACTTTTGGCCGGCCGGCGCTGACGTGGAAGTCGGCCGGCGCCGACCCGCTGACAATTTTTAATAATTTTTTATTATTTTTAGAATTTTTTTTATTTTTTTCTCTTTCTTTTCCTTTTTCTGGCCTATCTTCTTCCCCGGTCGCCGGTCCAGCGACCGTCGACCGGCGAGAGGCTGGGGCCGGCGAGGTCCACCTTGCCGGCCATGGGCGAGGTCGACCTCGCCATGGCCAGGGCGAGGTCGACCTCGCCCGACGACGGCGAGGCCTCGCTAGATCTGGGCGAGGCCTCGCCGTCGCTGGGCGAGCTCGAGCATGGCGAGTCGACGGCAAGGTCGATCTCGCCAGATATGGGCGAGGCCTCGCCGTCGCTGGGCGAGCTCGACCTCGCCCGACCATGGCGAGGCTCGACCTCGCCTGGCGACGGCCAGGCCTTGCCCGGTCATGGCCAGGTCGGCCTCACCCGGCGATGGCGAGGCCGCCCAGATCTGGCGAGACCTCGCCGTCGCCATGGCCGGGCAAGGTCGAGCTCGCCAAGCCATGACGACGGCGAGGTCTCGCCAGATCTGGGCGGCCTCGCCGTCGCCGGGCGAGGCCTCGCCCAGATCTGGCGAGGTCGACCTTGCCGTCACCAGGCGAGGTCGACCTCGCCCTGGCCATGGCGAGGTCAACCTCGCCCATGGCCAGCGAGGTGGACCTCGTCGGCCTCAGCCTCTCGCGCGGTCGCCGGATTGGCGACCGGGAAAGAAGATAGGCCAGAAAAAAAAAAAAAAAAAGAAAGAGAAAAAAATAAAAAAAATTCTAAAAATAATAAAAAAATTATTAAAAATTGCCACGTCAGCCGGTCGGCGTCCACGTCAGCGCCGGGCGGCCAAAAGTGGCCGGATGGACTGAATTAACACAATTGCAAAAGGTTTAGGCTGCGCATGACAACGATTCTGTGCCCGGGAACAGATTCTGCTAAGAAATGATTCTTTTTGATTCTGTGCCCGGAATTAATTCTGAGCATTTTAAGGCGTTTGTTAACGGCCCAAAATTCCATCCCTGGAATAGAAAAAGAACAGAAATGCGTTTGGTAACGCCACAAAATTTCTTTTTATTAATAATATTTTTAAATATTTTAATATTTCTTTCTTTTTTTTTCTTTTCTTTTTTTCTTTTCCTCCTTCTTG